TACAGACGCCACAGCCAGGCCCAACACAAGACAAGCCTCAAGCCCACCTCTCACTCATGCAGCCACCTTGCCTCTCCTTGCGCACAGCCGGCGCCTGCTGGGAGCCGGGTGTCCCGCGGTGGCTGGAAGCCCGCGATCCCGTCCTTTTAATGGGGCAGGCTCATGCTCCTACACCTGCAGCCTTTAGAGCCACCTTGGGTCTCTGCTGGGCACGCCTGCCCCAACCCTGCCCTCTCCCCGGCACCGAAGGCCTTCTTCTGGATGGCTTGAGGGTCTCAGATAAGGACACTTTCACCAAAAAGGCGCAAACCCCCAAACGCTGACAACAAAAACAACACCTCGTAAGTGAAATGCCTTAAGGAGGGGTTTTCAAGTTCATGGTCACCGCACCCTTGCTTTGCCGAGGGTGCTTGCTACACTGGTGAAACAAATACTTCTAAAATCTGGGCTTTAAAAAAAAGAATCACAGATTAAAAACAGACTTTTTCGTTTTACAGAATCCCCTGCTGATGAAATGTCCTCTAATTTCAACTCAGACCCAGACCGAAAAAGCCAACTGGAAAAAAGTGTCGATCTATGTTTAAAAAGCAGCAGACATCCAAAATGAGACGGGGAATTTATTCATATTTTTAAAAAACATCTGTTTTAGGACAGCATTACTTTTCTAAGGGGGAGAAAATCTGTGGTTTGGGGATGATCACGTCTTAGGTGGTTGAACGTTCAACGTGGAGGTGCTGACCCTGTGTGGCAACATTTCTCTCTCAGATGTCACAGCACCTTGGGTTCCAGTGACTACTTCCTGGCAGTGATGGAACTGAAAGTCTGAGCAGTGTTTCATCTACCCCAAGGGATTAGCCCACCCGGCTTCTCCCGTCTGCATAACTGGAAGGAATCTGATGTCTTGACTGAAAGGCAAAGCTGATTTAGAAACTTGAATGAAAAAGGACCTGTCAGCGTAGGGCACAGAGCAGGGCAGAAGCAGACCCTGCCCCAGCCACTTGGGGAATCCAAAAAGAAACATGTCTAAACCACGGCTAAAGACCCCCCAAAGACCCACTGACCACGGGGCTTCCTGAGGACAGCTGCTTGGGGAATCCAAAAAGAAACATGTCTAAACCACGGCTAAAAGAGAAAGATGCAAGTCTCGATGCCAAAGGCCCTTATTTAGCTTTTTGGTGAAGGATGGGGGTGAAAATCACTCCAGGACACGACTTCACAGCGTGTGAAGCCCACGTGTAAAGAGGCCGTTAGAAATGAATTATATTTCCTGGGAAAGAAAGATGCGTATCTTCAGCACGTTTCTATCAGAGCTCCTTCCTGACGGCTCTTCAGTTTGTTTGCTTGAAGGACATAAATACGGTCCAGGGGAGCTGCAGAAAAGTCGCGACGACCTTGCGGGGCACCTGACAGAGAGGATGTGAGCGAGTGGAAGCAGCCCGTCCAGAGGTGACGGATTTGCTTTCCAATCATCTGTGTCTTCTGAGCAGTCTTTGAGACCTGACCCTACTTTACTCACTGAGGACCTACATTGTGGCAAGGCTTCGGAGCTCCCCCCCTACCCCGCTTCCAGAACATTCTAAATGCAAAGAGAAAGGACTGGCGGGGTTGGAGCCACCGGGGCCCATGTCACCCGTGAGCACAGCTCAGGCTGGGGGTTGGGCAGGAGCCAATGGCCACTCCCAAGGGGAAGGATGGTACCACCAAGGGCAGGCCCAGGACAAGGTCACTGGCCAGCCACAGCAGCTCAATGAGGGACAGAGGGAGAGAGAAGGCGGCCCTGGAGCCTCAGGCCACACCCTGCCAGCCCAGAGTGCCTGCAAGAAGCTCTGGTTTTAAAGCGGAAGCAGGATAAGGACACTGAACGGGCCCCAAACACGAGTGTGCCCAGCGGCCTCTCAGTGCCAGAGGAGGCGTCTGAAGGACAGAGGCCTTGGGATCGACGACACAGCAGAGGGTGCGGGAGAGAGAAGGGTGGTCTCGGCCAGAAGCAGCGGGGGTGAAGGGCCTGAAGGGGACACTCACCCTTCCGTCCCCTAGAAAATCAAACTCAGACTCAGGCTGGTGGGCGCATGGCGGTGAGTGACGGGGAGGGGGCAGTGTGGGCTCACCCCTGGGGGAGGGGCTGCCCGGAAGCAGGGGTCCTCGGAGAGCCTCGCTCCCACCGACGACGAGGAGGACGACGACGACAACGGCGACGACGGCGGGCTCAGCAGAGACAGAGGAGGGTCAGAGCCTCGACGGGAGGGCCTGGCCGCCCCCGCCCCCCCAGGGCACTGGCTGGGGCCGGTTTCCTGGCTGGCGCTCTTGGCCCCGTCCTATCCACGTTCTGCTCTCCTGAGCCTCCCGCCCCCGGCTGGGCATCGGGCCGGCATTTACCACCCTGGTCCAAACGTCACCACACCCTGCAAGGCCACAGGGTTTCACAGCTGAGGAAGGACCCTGGGCAGCTGGATGGGACGGCAAGGCCAGGTGAACTCAGGTCTGCTCGGCCCCAGGGCTGCCTTTCTTGTTGGACTATTGTTCCCTAATGAAGTAGTGACAGCTCCTTTGCGAATGTGGGGAATGAGCCTGAACGTGTTCAGGTGGCACCAAACTGGGAGGCCCGGAGCTGATGCTGGAGGCCGAGGCTGGGTCCAAGTGGACCGCATCAGGCGGCACAAAACCTCAGAGGAGGGGGCAGAAGTGCATGGCCCTGCACCGGTGCTACAAGGGCCGCAGCCTGGACTCGTGGCCCTGCAGGAAAGGTGCTGCTTTAAGGATTCCAGGCCAGAGTAATTCAGGAAGAGCTGCTCTCTCCTGCACCCGACAGCCCAGCGGTCAGCAAGCACCTGCTTTCTGGGATAATTCCACATAGGGCGGGCTTCCTGGGGGACAGGAAACTGTACCTGCTTATGGGACCAAAGACTCATGGCAGTAACGTCACCCACTCACCCTCGACTGCTCATCTACTGGGAAGACCGGAGACGGAAGGAACCTGGGACCCTGGCTTGGTAAACCATCTGTCTGTCCACCCCAGTACTCGAGGTCAACCCACACACCGTCAGAATCAAGGCTCCTTTCTCCGCAGGGTTCTCTTGGCCACAAGAGAAATCCAGAGAGGTCTGCAATACACCCAGCTCACCTGTGCAGGTGCCCTCACACGCGGCCGCCTTATCATATGCCTTCCCCAGCCAGTGGGTTTCTCGTCAAGGAAAAATTTGAATTCTGAATAGAAAAGGTTACGTGGATTCTGCAGTGGTGGCTTCCTGTGTCCTTGTCATGTCCCTGAACTTACATGGAAATAAACTATGAAAACTGGACCCCCTTCCTCAACTGGTTATTTCTAACACTGGTCCTGGGTCCTTGCTTCTCTGGCCTTGGTGTTAGTAAGGCTTTAAGATGGGAATGAGAGCGTTGTCAGCAAAGAAAGGACTTCTAGTTTGACACTGACATACAAACAGATGAGCCGCCGGTCACCTTTATTTTAAAAGAAAACCCTTGAAACCCACTACCGCCTTTTCTCTGTTGCCAAAACTCGGGCTCGAGAAAGCAGGCTGCCCCCTGCAGCAGATCAATATCGCTAAAAATAGCAGGAGAGGGGTCGAGTTTTCTAAGGAGGAATCAATGAAGTCCCAGCGCTGGAGGGAGGGAAGGGAAGAAACCAGTCTAGCATTCAGGTCGTGAAAGGCTAAGTGAAAAAAGAAGTCATCTGGGAAAATATTATATTATAAACACATATAATAATCTGTACACACCCATATACATCCCAAAGAGAAGCCTTACAAGGAATTCCGTTTCTTTTCAAAAGAAGGCTTCACTGTGATAAAGCATTCCTACAGTGGGAATTAACTACAATGAAATAATTTAAGAATTTCGTTTATACTCTATCTGTGTCCACTACGTAACGTCTATGCTAACGGGGAGGCGAATGCGCGTGGCTGGATTAGAACAGTGATGCGTTCTTCAAAAACAGGAAGGACTTTCTTTTTTCCTCTATTCACATTCAAAATAACCACACAGCGATGAAACAGAATTAAAAATCGGGTGGAGGGATTACGGACCTGTTGTCAAGGCTTCCAGGCTGGAGGCTTCCGCACCTGTTATCCTGGGAAAACGCCGAGTTCCACAGAGCTGCATCAAGGTTAGAAATGCCCATGAAACCCCGACCCAGGTAGAAACCGTGTAAAGCTTTATCTTTTCCCCACCTACTTTAATTTTTTTTTAAAAAAGTGAAAGAAGGGGAAACACTCTTACAAAATAGAAGGTGTAATATATGAGAGCAAGGAACTTCCCCGGAGGCGGCAGGGTGAACGTGGCCCTGTGTTTCTGTGCTACCTCAGTCCCATGCCGTCCTTCAAGGTGACGCCCTCTCCCCCCTCATACTGCCAAAGGGCTCAAGGCACAGTTGCCCCCTTTTCTTTTTCACCTAAGGTGTCACGATCTGGTTTACTATGTTTGGCCACCACGTTGAAGGCGGCCGAAGTCTGAAGCAGCCAGAAACCGTGACGATGTGATGTACTAAATCGGGTGATGTACTAAAATGACGGGCCTGGCCACCAGGCAAAAAAAAAAAAAAAAGTCTCAGGGCGTTTCATGAGTCAGCCTGTGCTCCCAAATTGGCAGCGGTGGTCAGGATGGACCTCTGCAAAGCGCCCGGGTCTGGGATTTGGAAAGTCACCCCCCCCCCACCCCGCGTTGCCACAGCCTGTTCCTCTGGGTGGGCAAAAGTAGGGTCAGATCTAAATCGTGCTTTCCAGTAACAAGGAATGACATGCCTCTTCCCCCTCTAATATGCTTTTATCCCCCCCTTTCTTGATTTTAATAAGCAAATTGTACCACCATCTTACTCTGATATGCTCCTTTTTAGAAGCTGTATATCACATTAATGGAAGTGTTTACTGCTGGGAATATTTCCCGTGTACAATGATCTGTAACCCTCTTATCTCCACTAGTTGCATATTATTAGTTCACATCCAGTTCAATTTATAAATTAACAGAGGTGCCATTTGTCTGTATAGAAATCAATGCATATTTATGAACTTCTTTTATTCAAATAGATTTTCAACACATCTCATCTAAAGACAGAATACAGAAGCCTGTGTGACTTGGGCAACGTGGCCCCCGAGTGACTGAGACCCAAGGCACCCACCTCGGCAAAAGGACACAGACTACCTCTCAGGTTTGGGCAAAAAAACAGCCTTTTACGCATTTACTTAGTTCACTAAATGTGCTCAAAATGCTGTCGTTAGCTGAATTCATGATTTCCTTTTGAACTTCCAAGTCACCCTTATTTATTTTTTCCGTTTTGTTTTTGCGCCAAGGAGACTGCAGTCAAATAACACTCGGCAACTGGTTTCCTCTCTTTGGACTGAAAAATTAAACAGATACTAAATTATGACAGTGAATTTAGAAAGGAGGGCTCCAAGGGCTTGAAAGAACATGTCTGGGATAATACGATGCTTCTAAGAGCATTGCAGTCACATCGCGGCAATCGCCAGAGCGTGCTGTGTAACTACCTCCTCGGCTAATACGCTTCCTTCTCGGTGATGACTAATCATGTTCTATTAAACAGCAGTAATGCTGGAAGAACTCAGCTGTACGAGTGTAATGAAGCCGGTACTCTCCCTGGACAGATTAGCTACAACTGATTTGACACATACCATCATAGGGGCTTCAAACCTGACAAACTCTTCTTGCTTCTGATTTATGCCGTCAAGCTCCTCGGAGAAGAGATGAAACCCAAGCGTTCCGTCTGGTAGAGGTGAAATGTACTGATGTGCTGAACCGCCAGTTAAGGAGTGTTGCCCCTTCTCCTGGCTGCGCGCCTCCCCTCCCCCATGTCCCGTCCCTTGTGCCACGCTCTGTCTCCCGGCCACCGGAGGGACCGGGGTCCGGCGCCGTGTGCTACCATCAACGAACCCAGGCCCGCCGGTCGCTCCTGTGTGTTGATCAGGGGAATTTATGCAAAGGAATCAATGCTGCAGCCTCCGGGCCTCCTCTTCGCCCCTTGAGGACCATCCGGGTTTTGTGATTTCACTTGGCGTGAGTGGGGTGGGGTGGAGGCGTGGGGGGTTGGCTGGGGACCACCAGGAGGAGTGAGGGGACGCGACGGGACTCACGTGGCGTGATCCCTGAGGGCGCGCGGGAGGCTGCGGGCACCGCCGGTCCTCAGATGATGGTGGGCACCCTCCCGCCGCTGTTGTTCCGGTTATTGTTCTTCCTGGACAGGTTGGGGGTGGCCATGAGCACGAAGCGCTCGTCGGGGCAGCCGTACTGCAGCAGGACGTCGGTGCACTCCTGGCTGGAGGCCTGCCGCGCGTAGGCCAGCGCCGTGTTCCCGTGCGCGTCGCGGGCCATCACGTCCACCCCGTACTGCAGAGGTAACAGAACCGCATTAGGGTCACGGGAGGGAGGGGACAGGGCGCCTTGTTCAACCCCGCAGGCAGCTGGGGCAGATGCGGACCCCGGGACGCGCTACCGGGAACCCGCGGGGGAGACCAGCGTCCAGTGTCCCTGCCCCCGTGCCCCCTACCCCCGCCAGGTGTATTCTTTTCCGAAAAGAGTGTGCTTTTTGCATCGAAAAGCCCCTCCCCTGTGCAACAGAAATGGACCAAGGATAACTCTAGTTTTGCTATTTCTATTTTGACTTTCCAATTATAAACACAAAAAACGATCACTCTTTTGATCTCAGAGGCGATTCATTTTCATTGAAGGAAATACATAGGTAATACATAAGAGCATAAGAAGAAAAAATCACGTATAATCTCGCTATTCAGAGATAATCTTGGTTAATCTTTCAGTGGATTTCCTTCTAATGGTTCTTCTTTGAATCTAAATGCATATATGAATAACTGAGCTAAAACTTGCACAAATAATTTTTATCTTTTTTTTTTTTTTTACTGAACTTGGTGCTCTGATCATTTTCTCAGATCATTAAAAGTTATTCAAAAGCATGACGTATAACAGCCATATAACATTCCTCCGTATGAACATAACTCAGTTACTCTGTCCTTGGTAGCTACACATTGTGTTTTATTTTTTTTTTAATTATTTTAAAAAATTTATTTATTTTGGCTGTGCCAGGTCTTCGTTGTGGCATGCAGGATCTTTTTTTTTTTTTTTTTGGTTGTGGTATGAATGTGGGGATCGAATCCTGACCAGGGATTGAACCCAGGCCCCCTGCATTGGGAGCACGGAGTCTCACCCACTGGACCACCAGGAAGTCCCTACACATAGTGTTTTAAAGTTGTCATTGGTCTAAATAGTGCTGTGATGTACATCCTCATACTGAACCTTTCTCAGGATCTCAGATTGTCAGAGTGATGACTAGAAGGGGTAACACGGGATTAAATTACACAAATAGTTTTAAGCTTCTGGATCTTGAGAAAGGGTGGACTGATGTCCACTTCCACCACCATGGATGGGAGTCTCATCTCTCGTCTTCAGGAAGCATGAGCATTAAAGGAACTCTTGGCCAATTTGAGGGGGAAAGATGGCATGCAATCTGTTAATGGAACTGCGTTCCCCCAAACTTTATATGCTAAAGTCCCAACATAGGAACTGTATTTGGACATAGGGCCTTTAAAGAGGTGATTAAGGTTAACTGAGGTCATATGGGTGGGGCCCTAATCCAATATGACCTGTGTCCTTATGAGAAGAGAAAAAGACAGCAGGGATGCATGTGCACACAGAGGAAAGGCCCTGTGAGGACACAGACAGAAGTCTGCAAGCCAAGGAGAGAGGCCTCAGGGAAAAAAGACCCTGCCCTCCCCTTGACCTTGGACTTGGACTTCTGGCCTCCAGAACTGTGAGAAAATAAATTTCTGTTGTTTAACCCCCCGAGTCTGTAGTGTTTTGTCAGGGCAGCCCCAGCAGACTCATATGCAACTGCTAACATGAAGCTGAACACTGAGTGTTTCTGATATCTGTGTATCTAATTCTCCCATCACAGCCATCCCAAGAGTCAGGTAAAAATATGTAGAAACTGGCATCGTTCTCAGCTGTGCTGGACAGACCCATTGCCTGCCCCTGGGGTTGGGAACAGAAGAGCCCCCAGCAGGTGACCCATCTCTGGACAGTGTCCCACTACTGGTGAGCACACACCCCTCCTCCCTACCCAGGACCCTCTCAACGGGCAGCTTTCCGCCACCCTTCGAATGGGGACCTGCTGTGGCCAAGGACCCCAAAGGCACGCAGGCAGCGGCCAGGCAGGGGGTGCGGGCTTCTCCGAAGCAGCTCCTGGTGGCACAGTCATTTCCTCCCTTTCTTCTCCCCATTCAAGCTGTATGGCAAATGCTTCAATAGGGATTAAAAAGATAACTCTCCCCAGCGGAAATTAATCGGAAGAGTCCAGAAGAAGCCCTTTGACAAACTCCGACCACATCAAAGTTCAAAGTCTAGGGTCCAGCATTTTTGTGTTATGTGAACAAAAAATCCAAAGGTGTGGCAACGGGAAAACCACATAAACCGTTCAGTTTATGTCCTCTCTCTCCACCCCTTCCCCACAAAACGATGATGGGAGTCTTTTGTAAAAGCAACAAGAGGAACATCACCAACTACACTTGACCCAAGGCGGGGGTCATCCCAAAGATGAAGCCGGCAGAAACGCTAGCAAATGCCGTGCAAAGTGGACCACTGTGCCCGCGTAAGGAGACTTCGTTCCTCCCTTTTAAACTGGTGCTCTGTGTGTGCCCTCACACAGGTGGGCTGAAAGGGAGCCCCCCCACCCCAAATCCTAAATTCCCTATTACTAATGCTTCCCACTTCCAGGCGGGCAACGATAGCCTTCTCCCAGAATGATGCCCGCGGAGCAGTGCCGAGGGCGCGTGGGCGACCTACCCAGATGAGAAGCTGGGCCAGGACCACATTGCCCTTCCGGCAGGCCAGGTGCAGCGCCGTGCGGCCGTCCCCCTCCCCGCAGGTCTCGTTCACTTCGTCCCGGGAGCCGTGCGCCAGCAGCAAGATGACCGTCCGCAGGTCCTCGTCGGCGGTGGCCCGCAGCAGGTGCTGGCCCGGGGACAGCTCCGTGCACGCCAGCGGGGCCAGGAAGAGCTTCTGCTCGTACTTGGCCCGGATCCACCTCTCCTTCTCTTCCCTGCAAGAGTCACCAGACAGGCGAGGTCACGACCGCGAGGCAGAACCGGGGCTGCACCCCTCTGCCCAGCCACCACCGTGTGTGTGGTGTGTGGTCCGGAGGCGTCCAGGGGGCGGTGACAAGTGTCTTCACCCGGCACCAGGAAGGCCCCCTCGGGGGAAAGGCTTCCCTACAGTGTACAAAGTGGGTCCCCACCAGGAGCACCACCTGGGCACCTGTTAGAGATGCAGGTTCTCAGGCCCCATCCCAGCCCCCAGAATCAGAACCCCTGGGATGTGTTTTAACCAGCCCTGCAGGGGATTCTGACGTCCTAAGGTGTGAGAACCAGGGATCGGCCTTGAGCTCTCATGTGATTTCTTTTTTTTTTTTTTTTTGCAGTACGCGGGCCTCTCACTGATGTGGCCTCTCCCGTTGCGGAGCACAGGCTCCGGACGCGCAGGCTCAGTGGCCATGGCTCACGGGCCCAGCCGCTCCGCGGCATGTGGGATCCTCCCGGACCGGGGCACGAACCCGCGTCCCCTGCATCGGCAGGCAGACTCTCAACCACTGCGCCACCAGGGAAGGCCTCTCATGTGATTTCTTCTGCTTTTTGTGGCCCCAGAAGAATCACCCCGCTGCCCGGGTCCCGCCCAACGCAGGATGGATGCCACAGGCTCGGAGGCCCCATCCACTTTAAGCGGCCACAGCCAGAGCCAGGATTACAGACCACTTGGCTGGAGTCCAGGGGGCAGGGTGGCCGGTGGGCTCTCCCACCTGGCGTGACCTCGAGGGCTTAGTTCTCAACCTCATCGGCCGGGGAGGGGCTGTGTGTGAGCTCGGGGGTCTTATAGACACTCCTGTGGAAGAAAACGCTGCTACAGACGACACATGAAAAGGCAGCGAATCCAACGGGGAAAAGAGATGCAAGCGAAGCTCGTGACCCTGCGCGGCTTTCTTAGCTCTCGGGACACCTGGGGGAGCCTCGGGGAGGGCGTCAACGACTCCTTCAAGACGAAGAGCAGCCGGGGGGGTTTTCCAGGGCAAGTGGGCTGAGGCCCAGCCTAGGAGGCCAGGCAGGGGGCCCCCTGAGGCCAGAGCTGAGTCAGGGTGCAGAGGGCAGGAGGACACGGGGAGGGAAGGTGTGAGGCACGACGGGCATGGCAGCTGGTGCCCCTCCCCCAGGAGCATAACCCCAGCGGGGTGGGAGTGCTAACAGGCCCACTCTCTGGGGCCCAAAGAGGACAGTATGTTGCCTGAGACATCTGGAAGGAGGGCTGGGGAAGGGAGGAGGGGGCAGGATGGGAAGAGAGGAGCTGAAGAAGGAGAGAAGAAACCAACAGCAAGGTGTGTTTATATTGACCGGAAGGAGAAGACCCCGGGCCGTCTACTCGTGCACTTGGGCCGCTAAGGGTGGATTTGGGTGTTGCCTCTTCTAATACAGGTGAAGACCACTGAAAACAACTCAGTAATCCTCAAGACTGCAGCACTGCTGGGGGGAAAAAACTGGGGGGGAAATGCACAAGACAGAAGTGAGATTTCACAAGTAGCTCTTGAAATGAGAGTGTCTGGGAACAGAATGGGGCCGGGGTTGGGAGGGGGGGTAGGGGGAGTGGGGTGGGGGACCTTAGGCCGGACAGATGCTTTTTTTTTTTTTTTTGATGTGGACAATTTTTTAAGTCTTTATTGAATTTGTTACAATATTGCTTCTGTTTTATGGCTGCGAGGCATGTGGGATCCTAGCTCCGTGACCAGGGATTGAACCTGCACCCCCTGCCGTGGAAGGCAAAGTCTTAACCACTGGACCGCCAGGGAAGTCCCCGGACGGATGCTCTTTGATGAGGCTGATGAAAGAAGCAACAGAAGCCCTAGAGATAAGAAGTGACTGTAATTACCCACAGAGACGTACATATACACGGATCCACAATTGCCCTGTCCTAAAACTCAGCATTTTCTCCGGGGGAGTCAGGAGGGTACATAGCTACAAACCACACAGGGGCATCACCTGGGGCCTCCGCTGGACTGGAGAAAGAAAACTCGTTACCCGTGACATTTTTCCTTTCCAAGTACAGAATAAAGGCCCTGTTTACACCTTTTACCCGTGTTGACATTGCTCCTGGTGATGTAGTGTCGGGTTAGCCCTAATCTGTTTCTAAATACTTAGGCAAACATTTTCTTCCAGGAGTAAATCTGGATTAGTTTTGCTTCGCTTCCTGGTCCCTACGAGGGACCCCCGAGCGACCCCCCGACCCTTTTCATTAGGCCATTTCTAGGACGAGCACGTGGCTGCAGCTGAGAACTCACACCAGCACCCGGAGGCCGGCTGCACAGCCTCCCTCACTTGGGCCAAAATACAAGCACAAAAGCGCCGGCGACACCTTGGAAATACCGGAAGAGGTGAAAGGCGAAAAAACCCCAGGCCGGGCCTTGCTGTTCGTGTTACTTAAAAACCTTATTTCAAATGTATTAAACATATGTTGATGCATTTCATAAATCGCCGAAGAGCAAAACGCGAATTAAATGAAAAGGGACAGCAGTGGGCGAGATACAGCCAGATTTTCAAGTTCCAATCTGCTAATTCTCATTTCTTGGTAGGCATTAAAATCAGACCTCTTTTACTCTGCTCCGGTTGATTTTAATACTCATTGCCAAGTCATTCAGGGACAAACCAGAGGATGGAACACGGTAGCTACAGTCCTAACTGCAATTATTCCATTTTCTTTTTAATATTGGAAGACCCCAGCCAAAGAACGAGGTCAGACCCCCCAGCTTCTAGCTCCTCTGCCGTGGTCCATGTGGTCTCTTGGGGAACGCCCCACCCCAAGCTCACCTGAATTCACTGAACTCGACACGTGTCTGAATGATGAGTGCATTTAAGCTGTTCTTTGCTTTTAAAAATCAGTGTCGTTCGCAATACGTAATAAAGGCAGGTCCAGGTTTCGTGGGGCTGAAAACACGTACCGTTTGGGGAGCCTTCTGTAAGAGGAAGACTCTGAGATTATGTACGTGAAACGAGGAACAGGGAGGAGGGCCTGGGGCTTGGGCTTCCTTAGCCTGGAGCGGGGTGATGATTATTTGTGAGGGTTTCAGAACCTCCAACAACTCAAATACAGAAAACAGGCTTGATACTGGGAACCGTCCCCAAGTGATGCTGCCAGGAGACAAAAGCAGCGAAAGCCTCTAGGCAGCCTTCTCGCTGGGGTCCACCTTTCCCAGCCCCACGTCCACACGGCCCCTCACCTCCACCAAGGGCCTCCCCAGATCTGTTCAATGCATGGTTTTTTATTATCTGACAGGACCACGGCTCTTCACCAAAACTTCTTGTGTTATTTAAAAAAAAGCATTCGATGCCGGCTTCTGGGTCCTGCAGGACGGTGATGTTTCAGTGTTTGTTTTTTTTCAGACACCAGGAGGCCGGAGAGCAAAGGAAGGCAGACCACTGGGCCTTGAGTCTTGTGTCAGGCGTGCTGCTTCTCCACAGCTGAAATCCAACTGGAAGGAACAGGGGATTCAGGAACGTTTCCGTTTTGTGGGAGCTAATTCGGCAACCCCCATGCGTGCATCAGCACTTAATATTAGTTACAGCCTATGTCCTGCGGTCACTGTCCACGCTGACAAACCGGGAGGAAAGCTTAATTCTGCATGCTCCCTGCAGTGGCCAGAGGGAGGGAAAAGAGAGTCCACACTGAGCTAAAAGGCTGCGGGTTTCGGCCTTGGAGAGGCTGGCGTTCATGTGCTTGCTTTGTTCTTCTTTGTGGTGGAGATCTTTGCAACTTCAGTCACTTCCTGGGCCCTCGTTTCCTCATCTGTAAAACGGGCACAGTGACGTCTACAGCAGGCAAGGTGGTTTTGGAATTTGAAGTCACGTGTTCGGATGAAGTGCTGGCCGTACACAGTGGTTCCCTGACACATGGCGGCCGTGGCTGTCGTGATGCTTGAAGAGAATAACATCTCTCAAGACTCGCACTGCTGTCGTGCACACAAGCGCTCCCCGTGGGGGCGTCGCGGGTGATGAGGCGGCGTTGGGGGCAGGGGGGTGGGGCCTGACATTCCCGCTGGGTGGGCGAGGGGACCCTGGCCAGAGGCCTTGACAAACCCATGGGTGTCCTGTGGGGCTCCCCCTCCAGGGTGCAGAAGGACCTGAGACACTGGGGTGAGGAGTGCTCAGCAAATTCGAACGACCCCATAGCTGTCAGGACCTCTGGGGCCAAGTCTGGTTGGCCTCTGCCCGTGGCCTTGAGCATCTAAAGCCCTCCTGGATGTTATGGACTGACTGTGTCCCCCCCCGCCCCCGATTCGTGGACTGAAGCCCTACCCCACCCAACGTGACTGTATTTGAAGACAGAGCATTTAGGAAGTAATCGAGGTGGACTGAGGTCACGGTCCTGGTCCGTATAAGAAGGGGAAGAGACAGCTGGGGGTCTTTCTCCCCGTGCACAGAGGAGAGGACACAGCCGGTAGGTGGGTCCGCAGGCCAGGAAGAGGCCTCAACAGAAACCAACCCTGCCGACACCCTGACCTTGGATTTCCAGCCTCCGGAGCTGTGAGGAAATGAACTTGTATTATTTAACCCCTCTGCCTCCTCTACCCCGTCTATGGTATTTTGTTATGGCAGCTGGTCTGACTAATACACTGGACAGCCACATGGTCCACTGTTTCCACTTGGCTTCTGTGCCAACAGTCACCATGGGAAAGACAGATACTCTGACAATGATTCCTTTTCTGCGAGAATATTCTGTCTAAAACCATTCGCCCCAAGAAACCACGATGCCAAAGCACAGATACCCTAATGGTGACTCTGACGTCCCAATCTTGCTTCTGGGATTCCCGGCTTGTCTCGGCCCAGCCTTTCTTTTTCCCCAAGGAAGGCCAGTTCAAGAGCAGTGTAGCTGGCAGTACATCACCTCACCTCATTCCAGTCCCCTGGAGGCTCACTGCTCACAGCCTCCGTTAGCTAATGAGCTAAAAAATGAATTATTGGCACGGCTGGCCATCAGCAGAGAGGAGGAGGCCCCGCTCCTCAT